GGGAAGAAAACTAAATGTTACCAATAACCTACCTCCAAACCAGGTACTAAACTGGCTACTTTCATATACACAACTCAATTAAATCTTACACTAACTTAATGAGGTGGGTATCATTTACATATCTATGCAGATGGGAAAAGGTGGCCCAGAGGAGCAAAGCCACTCGCCCAAGGTCATGTACTCACCCAAGGTCACATACTTGGGAAGGCACATCCAGGTCTGTCCAACTCAATAGTTCTTTCTCTTTCTATTACATCATGCCATCCTCCTCATAGGGGTCAATGACCCCCGTCCTACCGAGTTAACACACTCTTAAATAAACAGAGTCATTTCAAGGAAGAGGCTCAGGATTATTCCCTACATAGAGGCAGAGGGTAGGAGCAAAACTTTGCCACTTTAGTCACCAAATAAAATTTTTGTGGAACTACGGGGCTCTCTTTTAAGCCCTTTTACAACACTCCTTTTTACTGTAGTAAAAAACACCTACATTTAAATGTACCATCTCACCATTTCTATGTGTACAGCTCAGTACTGATAAGTATATTCATTGACACTGTTGCACAACAGATCTCTAGAACTTCATTTTGCAAAACAAACTCAGTAGCTATTAAATACTAATGCCCTTTCCCCTCTACCCACAGCCCCTGGCAACCACCTTTCTATTTTCTGTTTCTATGATTTTGACTACTTAAGACACTTCATATGAATGGAATGGTACACTATTTGTCCTTTTGTGACTGGTTTATTTCACTTAACATAATGTCCTCAAGGTTCACCCATGTTGTAGCAGATGACAAGATTAAAACCTTACACACTCTTCTTGATAATCTTGTCTTTCAATTGCCTGGGCGGTAAAATTTAAATCTTTGTTATATGCCATTTGACACTACGCTGTAATTGTTTCATGTGTATTATGGCTCCTTTTCTCTGCTAGATGGTATAACCTCTTAGTTATTAAAAACCATGTCTTCCAAATCTTTTAGACTGTACCTAGCACCCAGGACAATACTGAGAACATGGAAGATATATCACGGACAGTAAGCTCTGTGAGATCAAGCACTATCCTGTTTTATTTATAATGACTTTCCAGCATTTAACTTAATGCCTGACACATGGAAAATGAATGTTTTTTTTTTAAAATAGCAAACTTGATATTTCTGAGGATTTATTAAGAATGAAAAGATGGGAAGTCAGAGACCTGACTCTCAAGCAACATTTCTAATAATCTAAAGGAAGGAAGAAAAGTATTAGCTAAACTAGAATCAAAATCTGTGAAAAACTTGTTCCTAAAAATTATAGTAAGTAGGGGATCAGACTCTTATAATTTATTTCTGAGAGTAAGAGGGCAGAGGGACAGAGAGATGTGAAATACAGCCCAAATTTCTAAGATACAGTGTTTCATTGTACCCCATTCCCCTGTGCTACTCTCTAGAGTGGAGGCCAGTGAGGCCGAGCACATCTAGCCCACAATGTCTTGCCCTGTCCCAAAAAGGAGGAACAAACTCATAGCTTTGCTTTCAACCTCCCCCACCTTTAATATCGAGGAACAGACAAATCCCCAGGTTGCATGTGTGAAAAAGCCAGAGATGGATAAAAATAATTCAATGACAAATGCTGGAAAAACATACAAAGGGGCAGAAGCCAGACATTCGTGGGATTCCCTGACAGCTCGATACACAAGGAAGGGTTGGACTGGAAAAAAACAGGGCCTCAGGTTCTTGCCAAGCCGTCTGAGGCCCTGTCCTTCCCAAATCATTCCAAGCAGCAGCCAAGACTTTACAGTAACCCTTCCAGGTCTCACAAAGAAAGATGCACTGTGAGCCTGCTGAGCACTCCTCACCTAGATAATGTCCCTCCCTGACATGGCCCAACATAGTCCAACTCCAGGCAAGGCTAGCAGTACTGAAGACGTGTCTCTGTTTATCGCTTCCAGTCCCCTACCAATGCCCCATGGGCCCAGAAAATGTATAGTTAAAAGGCAGCCTGAAAAATCTAACCCATCTCATTGGCTAAAGAAAAGCTTAGATACTCAGGTATCCCTATCTAGCAACCAAAACTATTCCCTTTAAGAAAAAAGAGGTCATGAGCACTTGGTACCTGCATCCCAGAGGGCCTATTGTATAATTCTAAATCGGCCTTGCCTAGAGGTACACCTCAGGCTTCTAAACATGTGACTGATTTTGGCCCTGACTACTTTCTCTTCTGGAGAATGGCCTGCAATTAATCTCACTTATTACCTCTGAAAAGTAACAACAGAGGAATGGCTGGCCAAGTCCAGCTCCAGAGTGTCTAGGGAACTGCAAGCTACATAGCCAGGCCTCAGACTGTCTGGGCAAGTCGTGGGCTCTTTGCCTTCCTCTCCCACAACAAAGCTTGAACAGGGACTCCAGACAGACCAGAGGAACCAAGGGATTTGAGGAGCTGGGCTGAGCTCACACTGACCCAATGGGAGACGACAGCCCTGAGGCTGCATTTGGGGTGGTTTCAAAACAGCGGGGGGAGAACAAGGTTGTCTGGTGAAAACTTGTGTGATCCATAAAATTGAGAACAATAGCAACACCACAGGGAAATGAAAAATAACACTATTTGCAGAGTTTTCTTGAGTCACCAGTTTTCATTCCTGTGGCTACCAAGTCACCGAATCCTCCAATATGCAAATGGAAAGCACAGCCAGGGAAGGATTCTCTTTACATCTTGTTACTGTTCACAGGACAGCCCCCAGTTTAGTGAATTCTCAGAGCTTATCAGCACTGGAATCCACTGTTGCTATTGTAGATGAACTAGTAAGAGTACCTCTTATTTACTTAGCACCTACTTCCAGGGAGATCAAAGTGCTTTCAGGGCAAGTTAAAAGCTCTCAAAACAGGCCAGTTTATACGTAAGTATGCTTACCCAATAAAAAGATTAAATGAATAGTTTAGGGTCACTTAGTGTCAAAACCAGTAATAAAACTCAGATCTCTAAGCTATTAATCCCATATTCACTGAACTTAGTCACCTTAACTACTAAGAGAGGGACAAGAGACTATCCACAAAACAGTGACTTACCAGGTAAAAATGGAAACTGGGGTATGGTACTGTGTAGAACGCCTGCTGGAGGTCTGGCTGCTGTTCACATCACAGCCAGGTCTGGAAGGACCCTGGAAAATTCACTTAGCACTGCTCTGGGGTGGATACCTCTGGGAATTCCACAAGCTGAGCCTCCAGGCTGTTCTGGCAACCAGGGCTACCCTAGACTGAAATGGGACCTGAAAACTGGCCCTTAACCTTGAAGAGCAGGTGACGAGAGGGCTGCTGTGGGTACAACTAACCCACAAAGGGAAAGGCCAGGGGATTCCGGAGGAACCCACTTTCTGGTACCAGTGGCTCTGAGGTCGGTGGTATCACAAGCTATTTTTCCTGCAGCTCACAAGCACAGTCTGGCTAGGAGAAGGCCATTCACAGTGCCAGACTCTAGGTCTGGGCTCTGACTTGGATGGATGCGCCACATCTTTGTGTCTCTGCACTGGTACTACCTGGGAATTCCACAAGCTGAGCCAGACAGGTACTAACACAAGAAGGTTCTAAACCCACCCATAGCGTGTAGATCTGACATTTTGTTTATAGTATGGAAAATGCTTACAGCCTTGTCATATAGACAGTATACCCAAGATGGCAGGGAAAATGTTTCCCATAGAAACAAGGCTTTGACTGTGAAATGAAAATGGAATATTTGGAAATATTTTATATGGAAAATAAAGTGCTATGGTATAAACAGAATTCTTTTTTACAACTTATGTTTTAGGAATGTGGTTATTCTGTAGATTGTAAATTAACAAACGACAGACTCCTGTGAATAGAACTTCATGGGAGGATATCCTGTCTGCAACCATCCTGCCTCGTGGTCTTCAACTCTTTATAATTCTCAGTTAAGATGATTCTTTTCACCCTTGACCACAACGATTACTGGTATGAAAGACACTGTACTCAAGCATGATGTAATGTGCTTGTGTTTATGTTGCTTCCTGGGCAGAGTCTCTGCTTCCCAAATTAGTTCCTTCAGTAATAATTCTAACACCAACAGATACTTCAACAACAAATAGGTATTTCCTTCATAGCCAAGTCTTTGGTCATCCCTTGCAACCACGAGGCAAGTCAGCATGCTAAGAGCTGGCTGGCTGGCAGAAGCTGGAAGAGCTGGCACGGGGGTGGGGACTTGGTGGGACATCTGCGGCAGAGCTTCTTTATTTGGAGGGAACAATTATCTTTATTTGGAGGGAACAGAATACTTCATCGTAACAGTCACATTCCTTTCTAGCTCACTCCACTCAGGGATAGATGCAATTAAACCCATATTTAATAGCCATGAATGCAAGATGCCCTGGAAATCCATTTCTTACATTTTTTTTAATAGGGAACTTAAAATGTGGGTCGAGACTAGAATTCAATACAGTGGTTTTTTTCTTTATTCAGGAGTTGCTTATTTTATGGCTAGAATCTATTTAGATTTTATCCTCTGTCACTTCGCTCAACTACATAAGGGAAATTTCCTTCCCACTTCCCAAATGAACATTGTCCAGGGAGGCTGTTTCAGTTTAATTTTACAAACTAGATGGAAACATAAAAAACAATTATGTCCTCAAAAAAAAAAAGAGTTCAAAGTTACTGAAATGAAATGTAGTACAAGGTATAAACAAGAGTAAGGAGACAAGTTTTGACTTTTGACAAAACATGAAAATGTAGACCACAGGCAAGGATTGAACATAGTATAAATTCTTCCTCTTTCACCCCAAAGTGAGCTTACTAATAAACTGTATCGAAATTTCCTTTGCCTTTGATTTGCCCACAAACTGTCTTAAGTGTAAAATGAGGCCCTTTATTCAAGTGCCAGAGTCCTGGGACAGGTGGGGAAGGGCACCTGTCTCATGGGTGTCAGTACAGGGAGTTCAAGGTAGGAATGACTCTCTTAAGACCCAAGCTGTCTCTGTGACCCAAAGGCTGACTCCATGACCCTTTACATACCTGCTTCCAGGAGGGGTGAAGTGGCTCTCAGGAGCTTGGGGGTCTGACTGTACTGACCATGTTGGGCCATTAGGACTGATGACAGGCCGAAGGGTGGGAGGGGTTGAAGCACTGCTTCTGTTTATGATGCCACTTGCCAAATTCAGGTTTGTTACCTAGAAATGAAGTGAGGGGAAATAACCTGATTTTACAGTGTTTTAGAAAAGTATCATTAAAAACATATGGATAATAGTGAAAGGGAATATAAGGGAAGGGAGAAGAAATGTGTGGGAAATATCAGAAAGGGAGACAGAACATAAAGACTCCTAACTCTGGGAAACGAACTAGGGGTGGTGGAAGGGGAGGAGGGCAGGGGGTGGGGGTGAATGGGTGACGGGCACTGAGGGGGACACTTGACGGGATGAGCACTGGGTGTTATTCTGTATGTTGGTAAATTGAACACCAATAAAAAATTAATTTATTAAAAAAAAACATATGGAGAAAATCAAGTAAAGTTCAAGAGATGCTGATCCATTTGAGCTAAAACAGTGGCTGTGACCAAGGCACCCAATAAAGGCTGGTTTCTGTATACGCCAAAGAGAAGTGAAGGTGGCTGGTGTCAACATAAGTTACCCAGTATGTATTCTACCCCTGCTGTGTGCAAAATACTGTACTGAGCCAGGTGCTGTCAAATACAAAGATTAATAACAAAGACAGCGGGCAGCCCGGGTGGCTCAGCGGTTTAGCGCCACCTTTGGCCCAGGGCATGATCCTGGATTCCTGGGATCAAGTCCTGTGTCGGGCTCCCTGCATGGAGCCTGCTTCTCCCTCTGTCTGTCTCTATACCTCTCTCTCTCTCTGTGTGTGTGTCTCTCATGAATAAATAAATAAAATCTTTAAAAAAAATAATAAAGACAGCAAGAGTTTACCGCATATTTTACTCTGTGCCAAGCAAGGGTCTGAAACACTAGGCAAACTACTTAGCCTCTCTGGCCCTTGTTTCCTCATCTGCAGGTTCTACATGCACAATACATTTATTTTTCAGTTGTACCTAATAATACTTACGACACAAAAAGAACTCATTGATTTAGAAAAAAAGATGCATGGGCAAAAGAAAAATGGGCACTGACCCCAATAAACAGTTTACAAGAAAGGAATATAATTAGCCAACTAAACTTTTAAAACTAGTCATTTCCACTGACAATCAAAGAAATGTAAATTACAAGAAAACATTTTTGTGTACACATTTACATACAATAATAAAAAACATAGTACCTAATCATGCCAGGGGGTGAGATTAGATATGTACTTATATTTATTTATATGACTATAAATTGGTAGAATCTTTCTAGAATTTAGCAGTATATTATTTAAGGTATCAAAGGATTTGTACTACCATCTAACTTTTAGCTACTGTGTTAAAAACTAATTGCACATGATTTACGATGATGACTACTATAATAGCAGTTAGTATTCAGCAGAATATACAATGTGTGAAGCTCTATGTAAATGAGTACATTATATATACATCCTATTTTAACTGTCATAATGCTGTTGGTAAGTATCATTATAATCCCCATTTACAAAGAAGGAAACTGAGGCCTAAGAACAAATGGCCAAACTAGGATCTGGACCATGGTTTCTGGAACTCCAAAGTCCATCTTCTTACTCACGACACTATATTGTGAACATATCTTGAAAACAAGCATTGATTTTAGTATTGAAAAAGGGGAAGATCAACATGGCTAACAGTGTTGTTAAGTAAATTTTGGTTTGCCAATATGAGACAATATTATGTATGTGACAATTTTTCAAAGAATTCTTAATGATACAGAACTATGCTGATAAGTTAAAGAAAAAAAAATCACACTATGAAACTACAGAAAGCAGATCCAGATTTCCTTCAACATACACACACACACACACAGATACATACTCCTGAAGGGCATGGATTACTTTTACAATTCAAAAGAAAAAAATGTAAGTTATTATGAGAAATACAGAGGTGAGTCGAATTTAAAACCTGCACAGTGAGAATGAAGTCAGAAAAGAAAGGATGGTTGTAAAAGCCTTTCAAAATCAGTTGCACAGGGAGAGGATGCTGAAAAGAGGGAGGGCATAGAGCTGAATGCAAGGTATCCGGTGTGAGAAGCCAGAGACAAGTGGCAAAGGAGATGGACATTCCAGGAGAAGTGTTCTAGAATAATGTCCTAAGAACTTAGTAATTTTGACATTTACAAATAGAAGAATTCTGGAGCATTGTCATGTTTTTTTTTTTTAATCTGAAAATTCTGAAAGAAACATAAATCATTTTTGGCAACTGTACAGTGCTTCATCCCTAATTAGAGAACTCAGTATGTGAAAATAGCCTAGGACTAGGTCTTCACACCAAAGGACTCAAATATTTTTCTTGGGAAAAAAGCATTTTCCATAGATCAGGAGTGATTCCTGGTGTTTGTGGAGGCTGGGCTACAGGATACTCGGGCTGTGCCCTCCAGTGTAGACCCATCTTTAGACTCAGAAGCCAACCTTGGCTTATCACTTCTCATCCCCTTCTGCTGCTCAGAAGACACACAGGGGCTAGACTGTGGGAAGGGAAGACACCAGGGAAGGTTATGGTAGTATTCTCTGGCTCCCGAATCTTTGAAGAGCCTGTCCTGCTTCCTACACCTAGGTTCTCAGACAATCTAATATCTCCCTATAGGACTGAATTCACTCCTACCCCACACTGAGCCTTCTTCCTTTCTGCCCTGCTCGCTGCTTTAATCATCAGGCCTTTCAAATGAGACAGGAGCTTGAAAAAGCTCTTTGTGATAATTAACGGCTTCTCTAATTACAGCCTCAGTCAGTGGGCCAAAACCCTAATAAAAGAGGCTTATTAATAATTTATAGTAGAACAGCAATAAAATAAACAAAATGTACACACATTACCATGTTTAGCATAAACTGTGTAGTTTAGAGATTAGTGAATGGGAAGGAGAAGAAATATCAGATGTGTTGAATCTTCTCTCTATTGGCAAGGCCACTCCTAATTTAAACATCATCATTTTTATCATAATAGCTAAGTTACCGAATGCCTGAATGCTCACAATGTGCCCTGTACCAAATGTCCTTGAATTGTTTGATGTGTGTTATCTCACGTAATCCTGAACAAGCCCTCTGAAGTAGGTCCTACTATTATCCCCATTTTACAAAAGAGGAAACTAAAATCTGTTAGATAACTCTGAGAGTAAGCAATTGTACAAAAATCACATTCCTACTAAGTGCAGGGCCAAGATGAGAACAGAGAATATTCTCCAAGTGCATCTGGTATATTTTTTCCCAAATAACATGGTTTAACATTTGAGTTCTTGCAGTAGTAATGTCAAGTACTTTAAGTGAGGTTTTATATCTCACTCCTTACCCATCACTCCTCACCCATTATACTCCCTTTCAGAGAAGGAGAAACTAAGGCTTAGAGAGTTTACAGTAATTAACTTGCTCAAGGTTATATAACAATTGCAGAACTGGTACTCTTGTTTTAAAATTCATTGTCTAGTTTTAAAACTAGTAGGAAACAATCCTAGCTATCCTTAATTGTTAGAGATTTTTGAAAATATAATTGGATACCTCAAATTACCAGAGGACATTAAAGAAGTAGGGAAAAAAAAAAAACATTCTCAATCAGTTTTGTTTCTTAGCAGGTACTAAAAGGTGGTAGCAAGAACATGAAATTAATTTTAGATTCCTGGTAGGTTTTGTTTTTTCATGTAACATCAATTCCTTATTTTATGGATAGACCAAAAAATGGTAGCTACTGTGATTTCCTTCTATACAAAAGTACCATTGTTAGTTTATTTTGAAAACAGCTAAAGGGGCCCACTACTTAAATGAGAGATTAAGAATAACAAAACTTTTAAAGCTTCTCATCTTTCTTTCCAAAGGATTTGTGTTAAAAATATAACTAGTCTCTTTAAATAATAACAACTGATCCTCTACTTTAAATATTCTATTCTTACTTCTGTGGTTTTGTCTAGAAGATACCCAGGACCTATGCCACAACTACTCCCACCAACTCAGCACAGTCTTCCTAGGACCTATGTTGCTAGTAAATAAACAATTTGGAGCTCACTTAGATATGGGCTCAAAATCTTCTTTTCACAGTCCTCCAGCCAATGCCAGTCAATCAGAAGTGACAAAGGAGATGAACCTACTTTCAACCCCTGTTCTAGAACAGTATGATCCAACAGAATGTATTGTGATGATGGAAATGTTCTATAATCTGTATCACCTAGGGTCACCTGGGTGGCTCAGGGGTTGAGCGTCTGCCTTTGGCTCAGGGTGTGATCCCAGTCCTGGGATCGAGTCCCGCATCGGGCTCCCTGCGGGGAGCCTGCCTCTCCCTCCATCTGTGTCTCTGCGTCTCTCTGTGTGTCTCTCATGAATAAATAAATAAAATATTTTTTAAAAAAGTCTGTATCATCTAATACAAGAGCAACAAGTGGCTACGGCTACTGTATTTGCAATGTGGGTGGTATGAATGAGGAACTGGAATTTAAACTTTATATAACTTAAGTTTAAAAAGCCACATGCACTTACTGGCTACCTTATCAGACAGCACAGCTCTGAAGCCTCAACCAGATTTAGCTGAATCTTATTGTACAGACCTTGCTCGAGTTTGGTCTAAGCAAATCATTTCTAGATTAAATGACTTTAAGAAAGCCTCTGGGTCTTGCTTTCAGTTTCCCAGTTTCTTCCAGGAGAGGCAGAAGGAGTCAATGAACTAAAATGGATTCAAGCATCAACTGTGGCCCTAGAAGCATCTTGCCTTGACTAGGGAAGACCTAAGCGCAGGGTAAATCTCCCAGCAGTGGGCCAGGCCTGAAACTGTCTAAGCCAGTTAGGCTTCACATCTGGAGGTTTGTCCCTAACAGGACAGAAGGATGATGAATATGGCTGTCACCAGGCTGCATCTGCTTCTCTGTCCATCTATATTTCTCCAGGTACACAAAGCTTCATCAGATGAAGAGAAACGGAAAATGGCATATATTGAAAATCAGATTTTCAATAATAATGAACATTTCACACTAAAGAATTTTAAAGAAGGACAGGCTTATAGTGCATAAAGACATAGCACCAGTTATAAGAGAAAGAACTCATCATTTTTTGTTAGGAATATTAGACTATTAAGGTGGCC